GAAGTATTTCGTTACAAGTAGGTAAATGAATAACGCCATCAGACAATAACCTGTGTCAGACTCCCATCAGAAATTATTATGCAAGTTTTCAGCAAAGAGGTAACTCTTGCCCTAGTAAAAAATTTACAGCTTCCTCAAGTTGGGTCCAGTAGTAGAAACATTTACATTAGTAATGAAGATAAATAGGCAACACTTTACACAGACCTTTTCATAACAATATAAACTGATATTCAATGGAATGCAATATTTCTCTTGGCCTAATGAAGTTCTGCCTGATCCAAAAGCAGATCTGCTTTTATCTTTTATTAAAACAATACCGAATTTTAGTAGACAGGATTATGACTGTTGTGTTGGAAGAGGGCTTGATTCCAATTCTTTGTAGCTTTTACTATGTATTTTTCAGTTAAGAAGTTACATTCTGCTTCAAGAGCCTGCAATTTTGTTATTCAAAATAGTAAACGACCCTCATAAAAACTGAAATGCAACATTACAATATGTAAATAGACATAAGGCATAGCACCCAAAGCTAATTACAAAACAGTTACATACCAGTTTGAAAAACGTTAGTAATAATTGCTTAAGCAATCCAGAGACAGAACAGAGCAATTGATATATATCAAGTTAGATGTTTCCAGTCTTTCCACACCTTCCTTTAAACAAAAATAAACCCCAAAACAACAAACCAAACAAACCCACAATTCTCTAATCCTTTAATTTGCAGACTCCCTTTTTGCATCTTCCCAGTGGTGCTGAGGTGCCACAGGGATCCATCAGGCTGAATACGTGACATCCTTCAAATTGTTCAGTAAACCCAGCTTTGGGGGAGCTGCTGCTCAACCTTTCCCTTGGTTTTCAGAGCATGTTCAAGAAACAAAACGGCACCTTTACCCACCACATCTGGTTATCCCTAAAATCAGTACCTCACGGCTTTAAGCATAATCGAATAAGACCAATACCGCTGTTTTGTAAGAAGGGGCACGAGAAAGATTTCTCTGAATCTGCCTTAGACTGAGGGAGCCAACCCCAGGCTGTCACCCTGCGGATCCACCGGGAAAGCGCACACAGACCCGAGCAGGCCAACCTGTACGTACAAGCAGAACACATAAAGGAGCTCAGCTATTTCACTCCAGCACCCAGACAGTTAAAATCCCAATCTGAAGCTGCTAATTAGAGCACATGATGATAAGCACTGCTGATAAGGAAACCGCTAAGACCCTCGCCCGCATCGGGGTGCGAGAAGGACGAAAGCCCGGGGGGCACCAGCCTGCGCTGCCGAGCGGCCCTTCCCGCCCGAGAGGCTGCTGAGCACAAGGGGGGCTGCGGAACGCCGGTCCCCGGCCGGGGGTACTCACCGGGCATCCTGGTAGGCCCCGGGCCGGCCGGGCACCCACCTCCGCCACCGCCTCACCTGCTGGCGGCGGGCCCGCTAAATCGCCAAATGGATTAGCCCTCTTCCTGCTGAAGACAGCGGCAGGTGAATTACATTCGCAAGGGCTCCTGCGCAGCGGCAGAAAAACGGCATTAGCGCAGAGACCGTCGGGGGGCGGTGTTGGCACGACACCACCCCGCCCGCTTTCCCGGCGCTGGCTGTACTGCAGGACAGCATCCTCCCTTTGCCCGCTCCTCTTCCTTGCCGTGCGCCCCCGCGCCGCCCCGCTCCCGAGCAGGGCACAGTCCGGAGCTGGACCCGCACCCCTCGACACGGCCCCGCACCTGCCCGCGGCGCCCCGGCGCCCGCCGCCGGCGACGGCACTCCAGTGGGCGCGGCGCTCCCGCTCCCGCTCCATTGGCGGCCCGCGGCAGCGCCCACCAGCGCCTGGGGGAGGCCCTTCCCTCCCATTCCCTCTGCCAGCACGGCCCGGCACGGCCTCGGCGCGGCCGGGGTTTCAGGCGCTTTGAGCGCTTTGAGCGGCCCGGGTTTCAGGCGCTGCAGCAGAGCCTCCCCAGCCACGCATATGGCTGTGGAAAAACGCAGAGGAAGGAAGACAGGCTGTGGGAGACTCTGCCGTGCAGCCCTTGGAGGGAAACAAGAAAGCCTGTGGTGGTGAAAATGGCAGAGTGTGGAACGAGGTCTTAGAGTACGATGACTCGAGCGTGGCATGCTGTCACCCAGGTACATGGGGTTTACTGTAATTTAAGGGAGTCTACCCCTAACTCTCTGGGGCCATTGTACCCCCTTACGGATACACACAGTGTGATAACTTGTCACCCAGATAAGTAGATGTTTTCAGGGAGCTTGTGCTATTCAGAGAGCTATAAATATTTTAAGAAACGCATAAATAAATGCACAGTTATTCACACAGCATGTTTTTGCCACAGACTTAGAAGTCATGTAACCATGACATGTAATTCAGCCACGCAATTTCTCTGCAAGGTAATTTTAGGCTGGCGTGGTTCAGCTGAGGTATTTTTGCATCACCATGTGCTGTGAACATCAGTAACTACTTAGCAAAGGTCAAGAACTTCAGATAGTGTGCCACTGAAGAAAATACCTAAGGGTACCACTCAACTATTTAAAAAACTTTATTTCCAACAATTTGCAAGAGATCACTGTTGCTGCTCCAAGCTGCAGCATTTGTTCTTTCACACACTGGGAGAATCCCAAAGGTCCACTAGAGAAGAGGGTATTATTGCTCTAGTAGTGGTGAGGTGTTTAACAAAGGAAGAACATAAACACATAGGAAATCAAGCTTTACTTAGCCCACAGAAACAAAATTCTTGGGGATCTCTGTTCACCATCAGCTTATATAGACAAGTCAACTAAACAACATGCTTATCAGTAGCAAGATTGCTGTTGTAGATAATTTCACTGGCAGATCTATTTCATTTTGGGGACTTTATGACCAATAAAAACTTTTTCTTGGTAATTAAAGTGATGTCTACATTTAGATGATTTTCTGTTTCACTTGTGTGTCACCAACTTTTTATGCAGGATAGAATAGATTTTAAATATCCAAGCCAGTAATACAAGCTCGAGTTCTGATGTTCCAGCAGCCAGCTTCTATTCCTTCCTTCCTTCCCTTCCAGATTTAAATACATTGGATCTTCCCTACATAATCCCTCAATTACTTCAAAAAATAAAAGTAGAAATAATTATCACAATAATTATAAAAATATTATTATCATCATCATCCTGTTTAAAAAGGTAATTAATTAACACTGAAAAGTGTGCCTGCACACTGGTATATTGGCCCCATGCTGATATAGTTAGACCAAAGAGCTTCAGAGGGTTAAACACTTGGGTAAGCAGGGTTTATCCATTCAGATTCATGGTTTTTGTTCAAATTATCTGTAATAAATTGGCTTTTGGGCTAACATTAGCATGAGTAATAAATTATTTTGAAAACACTGTGGGCAATTTTAAATGAAGTGTCATAGTATGTCAAAAGCAAAAATATTAACAGTGCACATAGATCCTTCTCTAAACAGGTACCGGGAAAAAATAGATAGTTAAGCTGGTTTGGTTGGTTTTTTTCCCTGTAATTTGTTGTTAGTTTGAAGCATTTCTTTTTCTGCCCTAGTGGGACACAGTTGAACTTGTGTATAGAAGGTACCAGTCCTCATATGTCCCGGAAAGTAGCAAACAAAATAAACAAAACTTAGATCATCTTAGATAAAACACAGTATGTGTTTATTGAAAATTTTCAGGAGAAAGAAACAAAATATATATTTTTTCCTGGTTAAACAAACAACTGAAGTGGTAATAGCAAAAGACTTAACATTTCATTACTCAAAACTTTATGTCTACCTGAAAAAATATACATCAATCTGTTCTAACTATTAACTTGGAAAATTAGTATATTAAAAGAAATATCAAGTGTCCTTGAAAACTATATTAAAAATATTTTCTCATTCATAAGTTGAAAGTGATAGCCTCAAAGGTGTTCATTTTTTTGCAGATTGTCAAGGTATTTCCATATTTAAACTGATGTACATTATAATTTCTTACTTTCAGGATCAGAATAAAGATTGTGACAATCTAAGAAACTGATATATATCCATTTTAAAAATAATTTAGATGAATAGTATTCTACTTTAAGAAAAAAGTACTTTTCCAGTTTATGTCTTCCTCTCAACAATTTAATAAATACAAAGTCATGTTTACCTTCATCTAAATGGAATTTTGGTAGCAAAACCATGCTTTGCATACAAAATTAAGATAACATAGTGATTGCCTTATGCTTTAAAAAGTTAGCTAAAATGGAAGTATTGTCAGTAAACTAATAGTTTTGTCATCTTTCATCTGTATTTCACTTATTTGCTGGTATTTTGATTCAGTTTGCTAAATGAAGTCAGTGAGACTGGAAAAGTGTTAGTTTTTGTGATAGATTTATCTACAGAAGGACGTTTGTGAGACCATCAAGGATGAGGCAAAAAGATGAAACAGTTTTGCTAGAAAAACTATGTCAACCACACCTCCACGTATGTATAAAGTTTAAAAGTTATGACTTAGATTTTAGAGAATGAAGTGTCACAAACCCATTCTCAATGAATCAGAAAGCTTTGTACCCATTGTCCCTTTTCAGAAGCTATGAATAATATGTTATTTTTAAAAAAAACAGCTTCCAGATTAGTGCATTCAAAGGTTCCTAGAGCAAGGCCTAAGTTTCCAAAAAGAGAAACTAAATTAATGTGAAATTCTAGTTCCTGAGAAGAGCCATTTCAGTAATTAAGTAATTAAATAAATAAATACAGAAATAAAATCAGCATGTGTTTCTCTTATTTTTATTTTTTTAAAGTGGTTTGTCAATATACATATTCTTTTCAATTTATTATAAAATTAGGAATGAATTTTCTACCTATACTTCCTTTCACTTTGCTAAAATTCAGACATAAATACAAAGTAAAGGCAGTAAAATTTTTAATCCTTTAGACAACTATAAGTTTTCCTTAAATAGTATAAATATTACAGAAATATACTGAAAAAATCCAACATGCATGAATGAAAATGGCAAACTCCTTTATCCTATTCTATCAGAGGGATTGTTTTTTGGGTAATTTTGAAAAGAGAAAAAGAAATTTGTTTGATGACTCAAATGCTGACAAACCCAAAACTTTCCATTTTTAGCTTATAATGTACTTGATTTCTTTATTATTTAAAATAATTTCTGAGTCAAAATCCATATCCAACATTTATAAATGCACATCAGATAGTGCAATACAATCCCTGGATGTTTTAAGCATATCTTTGATGACATGAAGCTCAAGGCACAAAAGTGACATCAAGTTAGAGAGAGCACTCTCGACAAAACATTCATTAGAAGAAGATATTTTTTTTTTGTCAGAACAGCACAGTAGAATGTCACCAACCAAAGGAGCCTGTGATCAGAGGGCAACTCTTCCTTCAGTGGTTTACACTGCAGCCCCACCTGAAAAATTAAGATTGAACATTCAGTATTTCCACTGTGGATGCTCTTTGCCAGCTTTTCAGAGTATTTTTTGCTTGAGACAACAGGTAGAACCTTCTATCCTCAGAGACACATGGACAGCCTTCCCCATTTGTCTCACTCCCCATTTCTAGAGGGCTGTGGGATCACTGACCTGATGCTTTAGTCACATTCTGGCCATACAAACGGAGGGAAAATGAGTGACTTTAGGGACCCTGAGGGCACAAACAGCCTTCACAGCCCTGACCAGCCTCTTCCAGGGCGTCCAGGGCTATATTACAGCTGGATTTCCCCTATGTAACCCTGCCCAAGCCTTCCCACAGTGCCTAAGCAGCAGCAGCTGCCCTGGAGCCTGCCATGGTACTCCTAGACTTCCTCAAGTGCCAGGGGACTACACATTCTTAGAATCGCTTAGAAAATTACAGATCTCTTAGAAATGCCTGTGAAGCTTCTCCTGCATTCCACTTATTTCTTAGCTATTAGTTTCATTAGAGAACATATAATGTGAATTAGAGGTTTAAATTGCCCTCTATGACAGCAAAGGGCCAGGCCCAGGCTGTTCCCACAGAACCACGAGCCAGGGGCAGCCAGCGCACGGCCCAGGCTGTTGCCTCCCTGTGGTGGGTGTGCACAGAGCAGTGGTGATGGCAACTGGGCCAGCCATCATCAGGTGAAGACAAGGCAGCTAGTCAGGCCACAGGCCAAGCCAGGACACCCAGCCAGCCACCTGGACTCAAGGCTGGGACAGGTGTGTGGGGATGTGGTATAGCCTGGGGCAGGAATCCTACCCAGGCCAGAGCTAAAATGCGGGTCCTGGCCAGAGGGTACATGGGGTACCCCTGGTGAGGCTGATCTGAGGCAACCAGGCTGTTTTCCACATGCAGAGCCACAACAGTCAGGCACTTCTGTGGTGGCATTGACCTCACACCCTGTAATTTGCTTCACAAAGTGATGTATATCCATCTTCTGGGCATGTTATGGCTTCCCATGCTTGTCCGTGATGAAGAATATTAATTACCAGTGTCTCTTAGAGACCAGTGAGGCTCATTAGGACAAAATTTTTAAATGCCTTTATTCCTGCCCTGTTTCTGCCCCCACTCAAATTGTTTATCAAATTCCCATCTACTTTAGAACTAAATCAGTGGGAAACTGATTTGGTCTTACCACGTGGTTTGAAACAAAGTCTCTTATTCTTGTAAGCAGAGTAGGCTGCTATCGATCCAACAACCAATATTACAAAGGCAGAAATTACAGGTGATGTAACTCCAGCTATTAATCCTGAATCTGTGGAAAAAGAAGGTTTGGCTTTTATTTCAGAGGCATTGAAATAGTTCGACTTAAGCATATTGTGTACTAAAGTATGCTTTTACCAAACTGTGAGAACTGTCTGGTGAAACAATAGAATTAAGCAGACAAACAGAAATTATATTACATTACAGCTGGTGTGAAAATGTTGTCTTAAAGCCTAATTTAGTATATATGCTACTTTTATAAGGCTAACATTGTTTTTCTATATCATGATGATCAGAAATAAATTGTAGAATAAATGATTTACTCTATACCTGTGTTTCCTCCATGATTGAAATGATGCTCCTCTTCTCCTGGAATAGAGAGTGAAGTTTCATCAAAGAAATGTTTGTCAACTTGTTTTGAGAACTCAGCCTTTTGCTCAGCAAAGTATAATTTTGTATAAGAGGGCAAAAGGTGCAGCTTGACAGGACCGCAAGAGAGGAGCTCCCCTTCTAGTCCTCACTGACAGCTGTGCTGACTGGAGGAGTAACTTCATCCTCCTGACACTTCAGTTTTGGAGAAGAATATTATCATCTAATAGAAGTGTCATACCTAGCAGTCTGCATCAAACTGATTTCACAGGGAGTGGGAGGCCAGTATGCTCTGGCTATTCTGTGCTGCCAGACAATCAGATGACTTATCTGTAATTTAAGTCAAGATCTGGTGCATCTGCTTTCAGTTCTGGGCAGAAACCCCTTGCTTTGGGACTGTCCTAGCTGAATTCAAAGGGATAAATCCGGCAGGGTTCTGGCATGTGCTAGAATGCTACAAAATGTTTAGGAATATGTTTCAAGTTTTACCTTCAGGCTCATAACCATGTTTTTTGGTGAAGAATAGCTAATCTAAATAAAAATGTCCCTCAGAGACAAACAGATTACCACTAAAGCAAAACCAAACAGCTCTGATTTACAAGTGTTAGGAAGAAGGTGCAAGGGGAATTGGGAAATGCTACCTGTTATGACCGGTGGTAAAGGCTTCCCATCAAGGAGATCTGAGTCATCAAAACCTCCTGCAAGATGAAGATTAAGATTCTGGTTGCAAAATTATCCAATCAATGTAACCCCTCCAGTTCCCTTGTCCACTCCTTTTTTAATGTTCTAGGGAAGCATGAGAGACCTCTGAAATCCCAGCTTCGACATAGTAGATGGGTCGTGTGTCTTGCACTGAATGGTCACCTACCCAAATTCACCTGAAAGCTGAAGCTCTAACACTGTTGGTGTCTACCAGTTCTCCACCTGTGGGATATGTGGACTCGGGCTCTCAGTAGCACAGATCCTTATATAATATTGACATCTCGAATTCCAGTGGTTCCTGAAGCAGAAAGTCAATGGGTCCTTTCTAGGAAAGACTCCAGAAGGACATGTCCATGGCTCACCACTACAGTCATACTAGAAGTAAATACAGGATACATGGTGGTAGCCAGGATAGCTGTGCCAATTTCATTTTATTTAAGTGGGTGTCCGGGATCGCACTCAGAACAATACAGGTTTACATCCCTCTCCTCAGTCCCACTAGCTGTATGCCCCAGAGCCATCTCAGATGCACATCTCAGTACAGATTTGAACACAGGCTTATCCATGTCCTGTGGCTAGATGTCAAATTTGAACCGTCTCATAGTGCAGTGTATACACGCCCAAAACAAAAATGTAAACAAAGTATTAGTCTCATACCACTTAGGAGACAGTATCTCACATTTTGGGCAGACAGAAAATCTTTATGGTACCAACACTAAAGCTCAGAAAATCTTTCCAAAGATTGGAACAGTGATTAAAAAGGGAGATGATGGGAAAGGATGATAAAAGCTATTAATAAAGAAATAAGAGAGTAAAGTCTTAAAAATATCTACTCTGAACAGTTCATAGGGCTAGATTTTCTTAGGAGAAAATATTCTTACCAGAATTACTATAACTTCCTGGTCGTGGTGGAAGAGGTGGGTATAAAGGTTTTCTTGAGATGTCACCTATTGATAATTAATATTGTTAGATGGTTGAATGGGCAAAACTGGGAGCTTTAAATAAAAAGTATGATAATTTGAGATTTTCTACCTATTTCTAATTTGTCCTCCAGCGAATTAAGAAAAGGGCTTTGTCACTATTTAAAACTACTTAAGTATTATATCAACAAATAGCTAGCTACTAAAACTGATTTGGGAGTGAACGGGGAATGTTTTCTAAATTAAAACATGAGAAGAATTCATGAAAATGTTGAAGGAAAATATTTAATGTATTTCTGGCAAGTGCTAATACTGTTTAATGCTGACAGGGAGATACAATGTGTTACTTGGGTGTCAGTGGTTCAGTTTTGCAGAGCTGACAGAGAAGCTGGTGTTCCAGGCTGGGCCAGAGGCAACAGGTCATGTCTGTGCCATCAGCAGGTATTAATAAAATCTGCAGATTAGTTTCATCTAACAGATGCTGAATTTATCTACTGCATGATGAAATTTCTGCTCTTGAACTGTGCAAAATGAACTCAGACTTCAGCTTCATTTTTTTTTAGGACTTTGTGCTAGCATTTGCCATAGTATTGGAAAGAGATGCATTGGCTAGAGCAGGAGATCTGACTCATAGCAGTTTCCAAACTGCACACACAGTGCTGGAGTAGCACGAGCTCACTCAGGTCAAAACCTGCAAAATTTAATGTCCAGGGCTGTTGCTCTGCATATGTAGAGTACGTCCTCTCTTGCAATTCTTTCTTCAGTCAGTTCAGTCACATATTTAACTGTTCTCATAGCCAGACAGAGAATTTAGCTCTGAATAAATCAAAATTAGGTCATAGAAATAAATAGAACTTTCTCTCCCCCTCCTTAAATCTTTCTTTCACCTTCCAAACATGCCAGATGCCCTTTCACCATGTTTTCTGTTGCCTAGCTGCTAAATAGTATGCTTCTGTTTCTAAGTAGCATTTAGGTTTGGATTCAGCAAATTATTTAGACCTGTGCTAAACGTCTTGTGAGTATAGCCTACAGCCAATGGATTTTAGGTAGAGTCTTAAAACTTTGCTGAATCAGACTTTGTCCAATGAATTATATTCAATGGAAGAAGGGACTTGCTCTGTTTCAGCTCTCTGTGTAATGAACTAAGACTCACTATGGCACAAAAGTAGAAAACTACCAACCCCATTTTTCATTTCTGTTGTGTTCCTGCACTTATTCAGCCTTCTCTAAGGATAAGAAGACATATTCTATGTCATAGCTAATGAAAAATAATGTGTTCAGAAATACTGATAATGAGATACATATCCCTAACCTCATTATACCATGTATGAATGTCAATTAAGAACCTGAACTGTAAATGGAACAAAGAAATAAAAACCAAGGGAAACATCATTTGCCATCCTCAGAGTGAAAACATTGGGTTTATTGAAGATACTTAAGGTATTAATTGATAATTTACTGAATATACTGAACCCATCCTCTCATAACAGTACTCATTAATAACTTGCAGGAATTGAACAATTAGTATGGGCAGGAATAAATTACAATATACACATGGGAATTATTAATGAAATTAGATTAATCTTTGGAATGTGTGGACTAATAAACCACAGGCATGAAGTGCCACTGGGGAACCTGGAAATGGGAAAACACAATATAAAAGGTGTCATTCTCACTTTACTGCATGTACAGGAGTTGGAATGACTCTCTATTACCATAGCTCCTCCTGCAGTATTGCAATCTCTTTTCACAAATTAGGCAGAGTTGAGAAAAAGACTAAAAAAAAATGCCAACATTATATTTAAGGAAAGAGAGTACTCACCCCCACCAAGAGCATCTCCTAAGTGTAGATCATTGTCTAAAAATGAAGAGGAGGAAGATGCAGAAAAGTGAGTTAGACACAACTCTTGTGGGAAGTGAAATGTTAGTTTTAATAGAACATGTACAACTGAATGTTTGACAAGCACCTTTTTCAGGTTAGTCTCACAAACTTACCTAAGCTATTACACTTTTCTTTAAAACTCTAATAGAATCTAGTAGTTTCCTGCACACTAATTGACAAATGATACAGTATTTTCTACTCAAAATATGAAGGGGTTTTTTCTGCTGTAAATGATGTCAAAATAAATCCTATAGTTGAATCAAGATCAATATCTCTAATATATCTGCAAGTACATAAATAAAATTTGCTATGTTAACATAATAAACCTATTTTTTAAATATGTTGTGCTGTATCTATTTTTTAAATATGCTAAATTGTCAACACCTATGTCTGTGCTCAAAACTGGTATATGTATGTTTGGCTTAAGTGTAATTTATTGAACTACAAAAACTGAATACCCATTTCAAGAACAAATACTAGGAAGCAATAAACCTACTTGGAGAGAGAGATTGAATCAACTAATCTATGTGAGGGTCACGGTGACATAAAAATTTTGCTTCAGGCAATCCAATGCACCTGTCTGAGGTTGGGTGATAGTCTAGTTTTTCTTTGCCTGAGCTAGAAAGGTTTTATAATAGACTTAGACGTCTGCATGTGCATGTTACACAGAAAATCAACAGGCTACCATTGCCACAGCACTGTACATGTGTCTTGCTGTACCTGGGATGGAATTTTCCATCCAATAAACAACTTGTCTATGAGCTGCAGATGCAAAAAGAGGAACTCTGTTTCCAACATACGGATGTGGATATGAGTGTGTGGGTGATATTTTAAGGTGTATATGGAATGATGGCGAGTTCTGGCAGAAATACATTAGATGGATGCCATAACTCCAAGAATCCCTTTCTTTACACTTATAAATGTGGAGTGCTACAAAAAATCAGAAGAAATGGGACAGCAAAACCTACCTAAATTTTGACACCAGTGCTTATTGCCACAGACAATTCGACACTCTCAATTAAATAAATATCTTTTTCATTATAATTGTGTTAGAATTCCCAAATCACCACACAGAAATCTGCCTTCTTGTGTTCTTTATATCCAGCAGGAGTGAGAAGCTGCTTTTGCACAATATCTAGTTATCTAGTCTCATTTGTGTGGCAACTCAGAAATGCTTTGGTGTCATCAGGAAATGTGGCAGGAAAGTGATCAAATTCATTCTACATAATTTGGTTTGTTCTTGTCAGGTGTTGATCCTCCCTATGTCTGGCCAGAAGAGAGTTGCATTTCAAAAATACCTTTACCTGTCAAATGGTAACACTGCGAGAAGGAATAAATTGAAAACTGGATTCAATTTATTATTGATATGAAGAATTCATGTAAAATTTAGGGTTCTGTTCTGGAGGATTCATGCAGGGATTTGTTGCATAAATGCTAAGGGTGATATGAATGAAATACGAATGGAAATGCACGTGTCTGTAGGGACCATAAAAATCAGCAAAGTGTTAAAAGAAAAGACAATAAAGGTCACTATTCTCTCCATAAAACTGAGGAATATGTTGTTTCTGTCAAAACCAGCTGGCCTATGTTCCCATAAGATGACAGCACAGATGACTTGTCAGCAGAGGAAAAGCAGAAAGAATTTCTACACCAAAGGTTGCAGCATATCACTACTTTTCCTGATCATCCACCCAGAAAATAAGTCTTGGACATAGTCCGTGTATTCCAAACAAGCAAAACCAGATAGTGGGCAGCAACCTGGCATAGGGTTCAGAGACAATGAAGTAAGAAATATTAGAGGCAAAAGAATCTCTCCCTAATACCCGATTTCTCCTAAAGGATATAAAAGATCTGTACATAAACAAGCTCGTCATTCCTGATCACGAAGAACCACAGAGACAGGATAAGAGCTCAATAGCTAGCATACCTTGTCCCATATTGCACATGATGCTCACCAGACCACCTAAGCACATACACCTCAGTGCTCATGAGCACAGGGGTTTGAGGATATGGCTTAATTAAATCAAATGCAGGACGAATGTGAGTGAGTAAAATCAAGTTATTTTGAAATTTTGTAAATAAACGTTACCTTCTGTTAAATTTTGTGATGAATTTTGTTGCACTAGGAAGGTACCTACTGGAGAGCTTCAGCTCAGGCAGAGATGTGTGGGATGCCCAGAGGATATGGCCTTTTTTAGTAATTGCCCTCAACTGATCAAAAATCTCAGCCAGCCTCACCTCTCAATGGTATTGACTGAACGAGACATAGAGGTAACCCTGACATTAAGATGAAGCATTAGGCAGATGCTGAAACATACTCTTGTTTCATCTTTCTGCACTTTCCAAATCCAATAATTGATTTTTAACACTGTGGGCTTGGGATTTTAAAACTCTCTGGAGTCCTCTTCAGTGCTGAAAGAGATTCCGAATGGTCTGTAAAATGTGGAGTTCTTAATTCTCAAGAATTAGTGCAGTGGATTCGAATCATTTGGCAGTCATATCTCAAACAGATTTCTGAGTCCCTAAAAATCAAATTCATTTCACCTGACTGAGGCAGCTTCAGTGCAGATATTGGAATCCCTAAGTTACCTTTAAACGTGACCAAGGACAGAGTATTTTAGGCACAATTCAAGTAACTTACTTGAAATGTTTACATTAGGATGAGATCAAATCCACAATTAGTGCAATATTTTAAAATAGACAGACACTTCTAATCTAGGCCAAACGCAGATTTTCTTGGACAAATGAAGTGGGAAGGAAGAATGCAACCACTAAAGGATCCAGTAGCTACCACATTCACAAAATGCTGCCCCTGTTTGTTCAAAGAGCAAGCCCTTCGTTGTGTGGAAAATATAACTGCTTTCGTGTATCGCAAGTCTTACTGCACTGTTTATCCAGAAAAAGACCTGAAGTTGTTGTGTGGGCTAATGTTATCCAGCATCTTCCAATTCAAATATTTTGTTTGATAGACAGAAATTTATTTCAGTGTTGTTTAGGTGGAAAAGCTCTATGTTATTATAACTTGTTCCATAAAAAATATGGTTTTTTTCAGCATTAACATTGGAATTTATTGTTTGGCATTCTCAGGACTACAGCTAAAACCTTTTGGTTCTCTCCACCGTCTAGAGCCCTTTTTCCTTTATGACACAGGTTTTGTAGCAACCAGTATTAGATAATATGAAGTAAATACATGGCGAGAAGAAAGAACACCTAATTTCCTTCTGATTCTTTTCCAAGTCTGTTATCAAGCATCATGAATAATTATGCAAAGAGAAAAAAGAATGGGAAAAAAGTAGAAGATCAGTTATCCATTTTTAGCAACAGTTACTCATTGTTATACTCCTCAGGGAGTTCAATACAGTCTGGAAAAGCGTGAAGAAGATTTTCAGGAAATAAAATATCACTGGCCAGTTAGGCTGTAAAGCCTTATTGGAAGTGGTCAAGACTTGTAAATGCTAACTGTCAAAAAACCACTTACTTTACATAAAGAAGACAGCTATAATTTAAATAATCTCAGCTAAAGTACAGTAGCAAAAATTATCAAGAATCTCATGAGACAGTTTCTTACATATAGAAAATCAGCTTTATAACCTATTATTACTCACTCAGCACAGGCCTTGTGGGTCTTCTGATCACTGTAGGCTTCCTTGTAATTATGTCATCTGGTGGACACAACGACACGCCAATAAACAATAAGCTTCAACTTAACAAAAGCAGATATCTGCAAATCTAGACAGCTGTTTATCACAGCAGAAGCTAAAAATGAAGGGATGTGTTTTCAAAGCCATTTTTGTTTGTTTGTTTTAAAGAAGTCTTTCATTTTATGACAGAAACATTGAAATCTAGCATTTTCCAGTTCTGTATCTCTTTAACTTAAGTGGTAGCCACTTCATATTCCATTCCTCAAGGAAAAAGACTTAAGATTTATTATGGGTGCAAATGCCATAGTAAAATAAGGATGTGAGATTTACATACCTGGGTGATCAAGGGCATCAGCTAAATCAAAATCGCCTTGACCTATAAGGAATGTGACAAAAAAAAAAGACACTAAGTCAGTGGACGGGTTTCCATGACCTCCAGACCTGAGGGCTCTGTACAGAGCCAGAACACCAGTAAGAGGCAAAAAATCTCCCCATCCAAACTGGAGCAGGCACAGAACAAGCTGTCAGCTGTCATCCCTGTGCTGTGCAGTCCTGAATGACTGTGAGAGATGGGCTCATTTAATTCAAAGAAGCTATTTGTTTGGGTAGTGCGAAGAGAAGCTGCTCTCTCATGTTATCTATATTCATCTGCTGTGCAAACATGCCTTTGAAGAACACAGGTTGCCTGTTATAGGGCACAGGACTATTGCCAGGAGACAGCTGCAAATAGCATTCAGTGTGGTACTTGCAAACCAAAATCATTAGGTGAGAATTTTTAATATCTTCATTATTATTTTACTAGTGCAGCTTCAGAGAGCAGCTTTACTGGCAAACCTGTGATCACTTGTAACACAAATCAACTTTCTTTTTTTAATTCTTCCTGTAACATGGGCCAGAAGCAAAAGATACTAAGATGTGTTTACTTAATTTAGTTTCCCTGTACGTTAAAAAGTCTGAGAAGTGAGGAAAAAAAAATCCTTCCTGTTCTGTTAGGTGACCATAATGTCTTTAAATGTCACAGCAGGGCAATTAGCACCCCAACTTTTGAAATTAGCAGGTAAATAAAACTAGGAAATATTTAAAATATATAAACTGAAGCAGACAACTTTGAACAGAACACACACAGTTATTCTTGTGAGTTTTACTTTCAACTCTACAATCTGCCACTTTCCTTTTAATACACAGCATTCATGAAACACCTCTTTGCAGAATATGTATCCATTAGTTTTCATCCAGGCTGAAACTGCATCATCCTTGTGTTTGCATTCCAAATACAAGATCAGCTGGCACAAACTGACAAAAAGTCTTGATGTGTCATGACTTCCCTAAACAGAAAAGTATTACTGTGCTCTATCGAGTAAGCCTCAAGATGCTCTTGTTCTGCATCTGTTTATTTTCCCATCTAAAAAGCTTAATACCAAACTCTTCATTGAAGTGTTTTTCTTGATAAGTCTTGAACACTTCACAGCAAGAAAGGCAATGTTGTTCAAGTGGGGAAACTGAGCAACAGAGAGAGGCTGTCAGAGGTTCTTCAGCACAACTGTGCTCTGGCTTCAGCTCAGCTCCCTGATCTTGACAGGTGCTGTACATCTTCATGGCATTCTTTTCATTAATCACTGTTCCTGAATAATAGTTCTTGCTGTATCAAAGAGCTCCCAGAAAGATTAATTATCAGTGGTGAAACACTGTGTGATCCTCAAATAAGAGTCAGCACAGGAGCATAAAGTAGAAATGTTTTGATTCCCGTGATGATTTTAATGTGAATCTGTGAACTTAATTATAGCTGGGGTCTGACAGAAGAGATAAAGCAAGGTTGGAATGCAAAGTAGCAAATGGCTTCTAAAGCAAATCTGTCCCTACAAAATATTATGAGGAACCCATGTTTGGTAAGGAAAAATAGGTAACAGCATAAGGCTTTCCCACTAACATTATTAGAGTAGCATTTTATCTCTTATAATTTGATCTGTTCTCAGTGTGTCACCTTATCCTGCCACCTCTCCTTCCGGTGCTCTGGCCACTAACCTTGCTGAGTCCAGTAACCATTGGATGGGTCTTTAGGTGAATAATATTAATGGAATTTATAGAATGATTTGGGTTGGAAAGCACCTTAAAGACCATCTAGTTCCAACTCTCCCTGCCATGGGCAGGGACAACTCCCATCAGACCACGTTGCTCAGGGACCCATCCAACCTTCCAGGGATGGGGCATCACAGCTTCTGCGGGCAACATGTTCTGGCACATCATGACCCCTACAGTAAAAAAAAAAAAAAAAAGTGTTCCTAACATCTAATTCAAACCTACTCTCTTTCAGTTTAAAGCCACTACTACAGCTATATTCTAAGACACTGACAGGTTGGTTTTTTAAGTATGAAGCAATTAAATATATAAATACATAAAATAGATAAGTTGCTTCATCAGAATATATTCCCTGCCAGAGCCCTGAGTGCACCACCAGCTTTTACTGGCCCTGAGTCCTTGTCCATGGGCTGTCACACCATGCTGCTCCCCAGCCATGGAACCATTTGATCTTGATGCAGGCCACTACCAGCAGGCTGACATCCTGGCCTTGCCTTGACTTATATGGTCAAATTATATGTTTATGAAGCATTTCTTCAGTGTCAGGAGTATAAGCAACTTAAATTTGACTGTCCTTTGATTTTGTCCTCTGGTTAAATCCTCACTTGATCGACACCCTGAGTGCTGGAAGAGGCTGTCTGACCTGAGCCCCACTGCCACAGGATGCTGTTGTCAGGGTTAAAACCATTTCATGTTGGACTGAGCCATCAGAAATAATTTTGTAACCATAATCAGAATATGAGTCATCAGAAATAATTTTGTAACACTGAATAGCTGTTGGCAAAACCAGCTTTGTTACAGGTCCTGACATGCAGGAACTAACAATATGGAAAGCAACTACCGAGGTCCTAATGTTGCAAAGAGAATGTGACAATATCATCTCATGAAGGAAGACTGGAAAACTTCAGGTACCACATTTCTTTGAAGTTAGAAAACAAATAAAAATAAGAGGTGGAATCTAATAAGAATTCAAGCAAGATGATGCAGATGCTTTCAACTGCTTGAGAACTAAAGCAAAACAACAGACTGAAAGAGTTACTAACATCTGCCCTTCTCCTGGACAACAACAACATTTCCCTCTCCTATTGTATGTCTGTTCTGTCATCAAAAACCTGGGAAAAGGCAAAAGGAGTTGTTTTGAGACTGCAAGGGAGAAATAGAAGAAAGCTACATCAATTTTAAGAAGAGAATTTTTTCAGATTGATATTTTAAAAATTATTTCTGACAGTAAATCTAGCAATAAAAAGAAACAGACTGCTTGGGAGGAAGACAGGAATCCACATTGAAATCTCTTTATCTGTGTAAATATAAGCCTTGACAGATGGGCAGTTTGTATGTGGACATCTGTGCAGTATTACAAGTGATATTGCAATAAACCAAAAGATTGCTTAGACTTCCATCCCAACTTCCTCTGATAATAGGATCAAATGACCACAAGGACTAGGACTTTGTGGAGCAGAATTTTAAATGCTCATTACTACTTCTGAGACTGTACCTAGACATTTTAAGAATCTAATTTTGGAGGATAACAGATGGTTAAATAGCTGAACAGCCCAGACTTCATTCACAAAAGGGTGCGTCTAAAAACAAAACCACATTAGAAACTCAGAATATTTAGCTCAATAAGAACTGCAGTCACTTCAGAGAACTTTGAAGATAAATGACAAGGAAAATAAATTACTGAAGCTTCTCCACAGAATAAACAGACTGAAAGAAATTCATTTTCCACATATAAAAATGACCCTTTTTTTTGGATCAGCTTCCATAATATAAACAGCTAGAAATATACTCATGAAAATGAGAATGAAAGACATTTTAGTGGGGTGAAAACAGCTTTGTGCCTTTGGGGGTTTTATTTGATCGGGGCTTTTGTATATGCTTCTTGCTGTTTGTTTTGTTGGTTGAAAAAAGTTATGAGACCTGAATAGTTATGAAGATATTTAGCTATGCAGGTGGTAACAGAGTTATTTCTGTTATTACTACTTTGGGCTAGTATGCTATTGCTTGGCATAACTTCTAACCTTTCTTCTGGGAGTATCCATGTTTTGACAAAGAAATAAAATTACTGTAATACTGGTTTTTATTGGGTGGTCCTCAATGATTCATAACAGAGAATTTGAAAAAATGCTTATAAGCATTGCCTAACACCACAAAACAGTCCTTATCTGCAAATGAGAAAATGCAAAGCTAAGAAGGCAAGCCTTCCAGATGGATATATGGATTGTATTGAGAAAGGACCTATTTTAATTATGTTTATGCTAACTGCTCAAACACAATGAACTATAATAACCGCAGGACTTTTGCTAGCACGGACAATTTTATTTGGGATGTAATTCCTTCATTCCCACCCAAGACCTGTAGCTGTGCCAGTAAAAAAATGAAGTGTAGACCCAGCCTAACCTTTGTAATATCATATGTGGAAGGCTGGTGATATGGAGACTGTTACGGTTGCTGTTTGCCACAGAGATACTAAGACAGTTTTAAGTAATTTCCCTTGAATATAAGACACATCCTGCTGAAGCACCGTGGAGCCGAGGTAATCTTACCCTGCCAAGGCAGTCAGTCCCCTGCAAAGCCCTCAGGCACATGTGCATTTAATGTTCACAAGCTTTGGCCCATATTAATTTTCTGAAAATGTCAGACAAATATCCAGTAGCTAAAATGCAGACAGGAGTGTCTTTCGTCTGTGATTTAATTTGTTACCTAAATGTTAGATGGATCCATCACCCTTTAACTATGTAGCTGTTTGATCACAAGGGTCTGAGGTCCCACAGCTTTTAAGGAGTATTTATGAGGAACAAGGCTGGATTCTGCAGGTGAGTGTTACCAGTCCATCATTGTAACTGTGGTCAGAAGTTTTCTGACAGAAAGCTACCATGACATCACTCTGCAATTTCTAATTTCCCTAAGTAGGCTCAGTCCTGCACTGAATCCATACAAGCACAGCTTGTGGCCCTTAAAATGATGCATATTTAAATAAGACAGCATGAATATTGCTAAGTGAGAATCCGGTTATGCGACAAATGAAATTAACTTCTCAGGCTTTTAATATGCACAGTGTAGTATTAAAAATGAAGCTAAGATCCATGAGAAAATGTATTTTTATGCGTTTATACATACATCTCAAATGCACAGATGCCCATGTGTGTTAGATAAATAATTTTGTTATTAATATTATTAAATTATTATGATTAAATTAATTGGTTTTGAGTTCATTACTAGCAGTCATATGATTGGTATGGTATTACCTGTGTTACAAATAAATTAGAAGCAACTAACTTCAAATTGTGAGCTAGATAG